GTCTTCATATACATGTAACCGCTAGTAGACCCCCCCTCCCCCCCCCCCCCCCAGCTGGCTGGGGGCAATGTTGGTGAGAAAATGCGTAAATCCTATTGATGGACAAGTGTTCGACTAATAAACATTGTTAAAAGTGTAAAAAAAGATCTGGGAGCGGACAGCTCAAGATGATGTAAGGAACAGACAATGATATAAGTAGTCAGCGCATATATATACGTCGAGCAACTTTATAAATAAAAAGTACACACATACACAGTGTACAAGTCGTGTAATTATGTAAAATTTCCATTTGACTGCATAAAAACAATTCTTCATTTTGTTAACCATGCAAAGAACTTGTTTGTCTGGTCAAATTAAATGTTTTGCATGAAATATATAATTAAGAAGTGTAGTCAGTTTAGTACAAGTAACCATGGTAACTGGTTTATTAAACAGTTAAAGTCATATTACAATTTTATCTGGATACAATTGGTCATTTTATGATTTAGTACCAAATACATCATTTAACTTGTAATACCTTATTTTTAAATATTTTCCTCTTAAATTGGGAGGAAATGTGGCACCCCTCCCCTATTCTGTTTAAAGTTTTCATTTTGACTGAAATAAAAATTAACGATTACTGGTTTATCAGCAGTTTATAATGAGGCTGCTATTGGCTTTAATATTATCTATCAGGCACCTAGCTAGCATCGTTTTTGAGGAGAGGGGGCAGCCAGAAAAAAAAATATTTGACATCTTTCCTGAAAAATCTTTGACTAGCAAAAAGAATAGGGGGGTCCCAACTTCAAAATCCTTTTTCGGGGTTTCCAACTTTCAACTTTTTTTTTCAAAAACCAATTTTTTTTTTTTGTTCATAATTTACATTTAGTACATTACCATATGTTTAGAAAAAAGAAGACGCCCCTCTCCCCTCCTCCCAATTTATGGCAGTAATCTGCAAAAATTTCTGTATCATTTATGGCAGTAATCTATAAAAATTTCGGTATCATTAGTCACCATGGTCACTGCATTGAAAAATAATTTATTTTGTGGACTACGGCTAAGCTTATGTTTTCATACATGGAAAAAAAAAGATTGCTGTCCGAGCATAGTAATTTGGGGGAGAAATTTTTGTATATTATATTGTTACACAAGAGCGTCTCCAAGTCTTTTCGTTTCCCCATGGTTTACACAGCAGGTGCGTCTAAGATCCAATGTGTATACACAGCGGTCCAGCGTCCAGCTAGGGCAGCCCTCAAAAGCAGGCCGACATCACACACCAACAGAAACGTATGTTATACTGCAAGGCTGAGAATCCACGAAAGACAACAAACATTGCAGAACTTAGGTAAGGTTTGTGAAATTTATAAACTTGACAGTTACTCGATCTTTGTTTAGTTTAATTATTCTAATTTAGTCTTTAAATTTTTTTTTGTACCAATTCTGATATTGCTATCATAAAATTTTGATTTACCAAGCATGTTGAGAGCGAACGATTTTCAGTATAAAATACAAGAACTTCAGTAACTTCACCTTGTGGACTTAGGAGCTAGCTTAACCACTGTTAACAATTTGAAAGGGTTATGAACATGATGACAAACGTGTATATATATAATCAACAATTAAGCGAAAAATGCTTTGAAATATATGCCTAGAAAGTGGCAGGTTACATGCCTAAGTGCCCCCCCCCCCCCAAAATTGCTATTACTGTCACAGACGCCCCTTTCTGTCCAGAGATTATGCGACATTGAGAAAAACTACCTGATAAATTGTTGTGTAAAAATAAAATACATGTAATTTAATTATTATGATAATTTCCCGATTGCAGTGTAATCGTGGTCAGGTTTAGCAGGGACTTATATACTAAGTTAGTATATAGATCCCTGGGTTCAGTAATCAATGCATGGTGTTAGTTTTAATTATTAATTTATTATATTAATTAATTATTATTTATTATAATTGAACATTATGTATGGCGGACAGCTTTTGTTGAAAATGACTTAAAGATAACCTCAGAACTTAACACCTAAGATACATTTTCTAGTTTGAGAGCCTAATACTTGGAACAAGAAAAGTAGCCGATTCATTATAATCAAATATGAAAGATTTACCACCTTCACTGTACTTTCCATACTATCGTAAATAACACGAGGATTAACAGATTAAGGTGAAAGTGCCCAGTGGAGATCAGAGCAAGGGGTCTTTACATAAACTTATCTTAACATCATTACTATGGCATTATCCATTCATTGATCGTTCATTTTCCATTTCTTACTTCATGTCCAGTAAAACAGCAGAGATGAACTGTCTTCAAACTTCGTCTCTATACGTACATTTTTAAATAACATGCAAACCTGTAAAATCATTTATTTTCTTGGGATCAGTTTTTCGTGGTTCGAGGAAAAAAAAATTGGTTCGATAGGATTGATTTTGTGTTTTTGTTGTAGTTGTTTTTTTACATTTCAGGAAGACATAAATTCGATGGTCTCTTCATACCACAAAAGCAACACCCCCCCCCCCCCCCCCGCAACAATATAGAAGCGGAGCGTTAGGTTTTTTTTGTAAAATTGTTAATATATTTACACATTTCCATCATATAGCAAGTTTGTTTTTTGTCTTTACTTTATTAATGAGCTGGGTTTTTATGCATTTATGTTCAGATCGCCATCTGCTGTTTCGGTATAAGTTTTGGGGGCATCGGTTATATCTACGCTTCAAAAAGAAATGTCTAGGAAAATTCAAATCTCGGTTTCAGATTTTGTTGAGAAAATCTGATTATTAGCATAGGAAGTTATTTGCTAATCAGACAAGCTTTTCAGGAAATCTTTCATATGTTTTTTTTAGTTTTACGGACAATTTCTTTAATCAATCAGATTTTTTTTCCCGTGTTCAACAACTTTTGACAGATCTCTCCATAGCTATTCATCACTTGTCAATTAATCAGTGTCCCTGCTGTGCTGTAATGTGATCCCGCTAACGACCAGGGGCCCGTTTTACATAAGAACTTACGACTAAGACCCAAATTTAATTCTGATGATAACTTTCTAATTTAAATTAAATTGAAAATGATTTTTATCTTTTTAAAAGAATGTAGAGAGATATTTTTACCCCACCAATTTAAACAGAATTTTGCAAAATTTTACAATTTTCTAAAGTTTTCGGTCTTAGTCGTAAGTTCTTTTGTAAAACAGGCCCCAGAATGTCGGTTCTTATTCGAGAGCAGCATATATGAGGCTAGATGCAATATCTTTGTGGGGGGGGGGGGGGGGGCTTTCTACATATTTCACCTAAATACAAGAGGCCCAAGGGCCTTAACGGTCACCTGAGTATAAAACAACAATCCATAGAAGATCCATAGAGTATAAAATAAACTGAAAGAAGGAGCTTTTGTAAATCTTTGATCGTCCATTGTGGCCCCACCCAATCCCTAGAGTCCAGAGTCATGATTTGAACAAACTTGAATCTATACTACCTGATGTTTCCATGTAAATATAACCAATCAAGGCTTTGCTGTTCCTGAGAAGAAGATTTTTTAAAGATTTTTCCTATATATTTCTTTGTAAACTTTGATCATCCACTGTGGCCCTGCCCTACCCCTGGGGGTCATGATTTGAACAAATTTGAGTCTACACTACCTGATGATGCTTCCATATAAATATGACTCATCACAACTTTGCTGTTCTTGAGAAAAAGATTTTTAAAGATTTTTCCTATATATTTCTATGTAAACTTTGATCATCCATTGTGGCCCCACCCTACCCCCGGGGGTCATAATTTGAACAAACTTGAATCTACACTACCTGAGGATGCTTCCATATAAATATGACTCATCACAACTTTGCTGTTCTTGAGAAGAAGATTTTTAAAGATTTTTCCTATATATTTCTATGTAAACTTTGATCATCCATTGTGGCCCTGCCCTACCCCCGGGGGTCATGATTTGAACAAACTTGAATCTACACTACCTGAGGATGCTTCCATATATATATGACTCATCACAACTTTGCTGTTCTTGAGAAGAAGATTTTTCCTATATATTTCTATGTAAACTTTTATCATCCATTGTGGCCCTGCCCTACCCCCGGGGGTCATAATTTGAACAAACTTGAATCTACACTACCTGAGGATGCTTCCATATAAATATGACCAATCAGGGCTTAGCTGTTCCTGAGAAGAAGATTTTTAAAGATTTTTCCTATATATCTCTATGTAAAAATTTGAGCGTCCATTGTGGCCCCACCCTACCCCTGGGGGTCATGATTTTAACAAACTTGAGTCTACACAACCTGAGGATGTTTCCATATAAGTTTCATCTTACCTGGTCCAGTGGTTCTTGAGAAGAAGATTTTAAAAGATACCATTAATTTTTCACTAATTCTTAATTATCTCCCCTTGGAAGAAGGCGTGGCCCTTCATTTGAACAAACTTGAATCATCTTTACCCAAGGATAGTTTGTGGCAAGTTTGGTGGAAATTGGCCCAGTGGTTCTTGAGAAGAAGTCGAAAATGTGAAAAGTTTATGCACGACGCACACCCGCACGCCGACGGACGAAAACAGATAGCAATAGGTCACCTGAGTGATTCAGGTGACCTAATAACAGAATCCCCTCCTGAATAAAAATAACTGACATACATGTATATAGTGTTCAATTCCACATTTATTAAAATGAGAAAGTAAGCTCACAGATGATGTTGGATTTCAAGATTAATAGATATACAATGTACAATTGTAAAAGGAAAAATAATTAACTTTTCAATAAGACTAAAAAAAAATAATAGTACACAAGTAAATGGAATGGTGAGCAAAATTAGATGAACACAATATATACAATGGTTCATACACACTAAAAAGTATATACTTAATGAATAATGGAATAGATTACCAACATATTATGCATGACAAAAAAAAATCCCTCATTACAAAAATGTTTGAATAGGCCACCTATCAAATAAATTATTATTATTTTTTTTTTTTAAATTAATACCAGAGACAAAGAGTTCATTTTTAGCACTTCCTTTAAAAAAAAAAATATTCTCATGTGATCAATAATTCTCCCCCAGAATGAACTTCTCATATAAGATCATCTCACAGAAATTAATCTCACAGCATATGACAATGTATACATGAGAAACAGAGAAACAGCCACACTAGATACAGTACACATAAGTAAACCAATGATTATATGCCCTCTTGTGCTCTCCAAATGTTAGGCCCAATAAATAGTATGTTTGTTCATCTCGAGTCGTTGATTTTCAACCTCGGAACTGACGATACAGATGCAGGAGATTCTCTCACTTTCTCGCTGTTTCATAATTGGCTGCAAACCAGTCACATGATTCTTTCACAGCTAAAAATAGCACATAGAATATTAATGAAACATGTATTTACAGAAAAATTTAATTGAGAAAGAGAATTTCAATCGGCCTATGATACAGTGAATTTAGAGCATCTGGTCTATGGTGCATACTCAATACAAGGTAACTTCTGTACTTATACACTGATTAGGAGATCTTCAATTTTTGTAATGATACTGAAAAATAGCTTAAAATTTGTTTGTTTATCTCTATCACCACCAAATGAAATGAAGAAACTGAAAACCTAGAAAATTGAATACACTACAAAAGTACTAAATGGTCAAAGACCTAATACAGTAAAACTCGTTTAGTATGAACACAGATGTAGTGAAACAAGCATTCTGAGAGTATTGCATTAGCAATACTAGTCCCCTACTGGCAAGTGTAATCTGGTTCCTGTTAAGAATTGAAAATGCCATAATTCCGTCAAAAATTAATGAAGCGGGACGAAATGCAAACTTGATCTATAACCAATCAAGGTAAAGCCACATACCAAAAATCAGCTCAATATCTGAAAGCGTTTAGAAGAAAATTGCGGAAAACCCGTAAAAATTGAAAAGACCGTAATTCCGTCAAAAATCAATGAAGCGGAACGAAATGCAAACTTGATCTGTAACTCATCAAGATACACTCACATACCAAAAATCAGCTCAATATTTGCAAGCGTTTAGGAAAAAAGTGCGGAAAACCAAGTGGGACAGACAGACAGAGGGACAGACAGACAGACAGACAGACAGACAGACGGACGGACAGACGGATGGACGGACAGACTCAGAGGAAACCTATAGTCCCCTCCAGTTTCACCGGTAGGGGACTAATTAAGGATATAGCAAAGTTTTTTCCAATCCCCGATGAAATCCTTAACAATTCCTTGTAAAATTTTATGGATATAACAAACTAGGATACAGTGAATTTACGGTTATAACAAACTGATTTTGTGTCCCCTAGAAGTTGAAAATAACAAAATTTATATCTTTTATAGCGAATTTTCAAAGATCAAAATTTCTAAAATATTGAACAGACATTAATTTTGTAAGTATTTTTATTTGAAACTCAAATTTCCAAAAACTTTTGAACCCAGATAAATTTTGTATTTTACACTCCCCTAAATACATGTGGTAGTCATTCTTGAATGAAATATCGATGTTTTGAATTCACTATGTATCCTTTAAAGAATTCGTTATATGGACTTAATGAATTGGGGATATAGTGAGGTAAATTCACAGGTCCCCAAAACTTCCCTATAACCAAATTTTACTGTATATCATGTAGACATATTATTATATATCAGTATATCATGTAGACATAGTACATGTATATCATGTAGACAAGTTATATAATCTAGACAAAGTATATCGTGTAAACATACATCACATAAATTGTGTAGTTCTTGCTTACCTTGTTTGAATGGTGTGAATTTGAAGTCTGGTCGGTACTTTCGTAGTTTGGCATTACTGGCAGTCTTTTTGAACTGACCATCAGACTTGGTGGTGTCATACTTGACCTCTCCCTTGAACTCCATGGCCTCGATAACCGCCTCGGCCGCTTCCTTAATACTGACCTCGTCCTCCTCTCCCACTACAAAACATGGCAAGAATTTCACTGAATGTCAACCCAACAGACCTCAGCACTACATTGATAAGACACAGTCTTGAACTTGATGAGGCTAGCTCAGATACATTTTTTTTTTTTACATATATCAGAGGAGTCAACAGATCAAAAGTTAAAATACATATAAAAAGAAAAAGTGGATTGGCTTTCCAACTCACTTTGACAAATCTATGGTGTTCAAGATCTTCATTTTTGACATACAGAAAATTCAATTATATCATAATTATTATAAATATTTATTAGTCCAAAAAATAATCCCTAGGCATAAGCCTAGCTGGCACTATCAGACAGGAAGTTGATGGTTCCAGAAAAAAGATTCTTCTTATACAAGTTTTTATTTTGAAAGGAAAAACACAATGAATTTTTTCTCAATTCCAAATTGTTACTTTCAGCTTATCATTTCAAGATGAAGGTCATTCTTACCAGAGAGGATGATTGGATCGATTTCGGGGTATTCCCTCAACACCCAGATCATCAAACGGGCAAGGTCAAGGGAGTAGATAAACTGTCGACGGGGAGATCCTGTCCCCCAGACCGTGAATGGAGTGTTGTCCCCTACAAACCAGTAATAGGAGGGTTATTACATTCTTTCTGTACCTAACACTGAAAAGAATCCTGCACTTAGATTTTAGAGTAAAACATGCTTATAGCGAACATACTAATAATGAAAGTGACACATATAGCAAAGTAATTTTCATTCCCCGTAGCTTTAAAATATATTGTAAACTTAACGGATATAATGATTTACATTTATAACGTTTATAACGAAGCAAAATTGTCTGTCCCTGGCACTTCGTATAAGCGTGTTTTACTGTAGGATATTGACTTTTTGCTTGTTTAATGGGTAACATTTGGAAAAGTTTGACACCCGTTTTCCCCTTGGGAATATTTACTTTTAGCACAGTAGATCTTATTGATGAGTCCAGGCAGCACGTGCCCGTCCTCCAGATTAAAGTTGTCATGCGCTCCGAAAACATTTGTAGGTACAACCGAAGTAAATTGACAGCCATGTTGCTTGTTGTAGGCTCTGTAAACATTTATTGAACATAATATTGAATATATTGTAAGTAAAAAGTAAGCTGTTTTTATTTAGAAGTTTAATCCTTTTTCCACAGTTAGCAATATTTACATGTTTTATAAATTGATGATGATTGGAATATCTATTACTCATCAAGGACTAACAAAACTTTGCTGTAGGTAATGGGCATTTCCTTCACAACTCAACAATTGCTTATATACACAATTAACTTTTGGAGTTAAATAGTTAATTGAAGGAAGCAGTGAAGAAATTGCTTAAATACTTGAACAATAATGAAAATTAAAACATAATTATTGATATTAGAATTAAGATTTTTACAAACCTATTTTGGACATCTATCATTCTCTTGGAGTAAGAATATCCAAAGTTAGAATCATGGGGAGGACCATTATGGACCTGTAATAAAAATGGAAATGTTGGAATTTTACGACGGGTCTGTCACCCAGTAGAGACTGTCATCACTGCTGCATACACAGCTCTATTCATACCCTAGCGTCTGATACATATCAAGTGTAACCTAATACAGGACTATCAACAGTGTATGAATTTGCTGCAAAAAAGACGACAGGAATTCACAGAATTCCATCATAAGAGAATTGTGACAAAAATATTTGCAGAATATTCATTATCTCTTGTATTTAATTACATGTATTAACTTTAACTGCAGTTCTGGGTTTTGTTTTGTTTTTTTTTTTATTCTACAGATTGTTCTTTTACAAATATGTAGTGATGATTTTTTTTTGTTTTTTAAAGATTGATTAATTCAATGATTGTCTTCAATTCAGGTCCTGTCCTGTCCCACCGAGGTTTAATGATGTACGTACCATTGTTTCATCTATAGGATACGTGGTTTTGTCAGGAAATATACAAGTAGACAGGCAGGAAACTACTTTCTTGACACCGGTTTTGAAGCTCGTGTTCAGGACATTGTCATTAATTAAGGTGTTAATCCTCTAGAAAAAGAAAATTCAGAAAAATGACCTTCTATTGCAATTTTTGAAAATTACCTGTAATTAGATTTTATTTTGTAATTTGAAGATTCTATATATTAAAGAGAAATTAAGAATTAATTGTAATAATTTCAATTACTGATTTACTGTAAATATGAACACCTAACATAAGAAATTGTATTGAAACAATATATGCAATTATAATGAACCCCCCCCCCCAATTTTTTTTAAAAACAATAATGATCTGTATTTATCAATGTTCATATATATTTGGGAAGATAATTTTTATGCATTTTTTCTTAGGATGCATCAAACAATACACATGGAAGGATTATAGGAATTTCTTTTTGGGAAAATTAATAAGTAACACTTACATAGAAGTCCAGATTATACTTGAGATTACGGAACAACCCTCCAACCATGGCAGCCAAATGAATTACATGTGTTGGCTTTACTCTCTCAAACAGCTTCTCTGTAGCAGCACGATCTCTGAAGATTTGAAATTGGTCAAGGTAACAAAACAAATTCAAAGTTGAATCCAATCACCACACACAAAAAAAATGCTAACACTGTGAATTTTTAACAATACTGTTAAATGCTGACATATTTTAAACAATTTGACATTAATTATTGAATAAATAGCTCTTCATGATGATGCCTGGAAGTACACATAACAAATCTGTTCTTATAAAGTGTACATTCATGTATGTGCTACGGCTACATGGCATCCACATACATTGCTATGAACTTTGCAGTTTCTAATGTACATATCTTTTGATATAAAAATAAGTTTATTTTATTTCTTGCAAATTTCTTTTCAGTTTATTCCACTGCATTTTAGTTTTCTTTTGAAATCATTTAGTCTACATACGAGAGATCCCCATCCTTTGAGCTGGCGAAGTACCACTCTTCGTTAGGCCTTTTTTCCTCGCCCTCAGCGATGGTTTTGATCGCCTGGCCTACCAAACCAGTTCCACCAGTCACCAAAATGACGCACTTATCCCCCATAGTCAATTATACTGCAGAGAGGTACAAAAGGTATTTTTTAGCATTCAATATTAACTTGGTACTGTTGCTTGATTCTATGTGCCAAGAGAAATAACTCTAGTTAAGTAAACTTAATCTACATATTTTGCAATGACCATCAATCTAATGTTTGATCCTTAGTTTATTTTTTGAAAACAATTAGAGAAATAGTTTTACTAACTTATTTGCAATGCAGTGATGTTATTTCAAATTTTATCACAGAAGCTGCCACAAAGAGAAAATACAACTATTAAGTTTTGAACATGTTGAAGAACTTGGAACAAAAACCAGTGAAGCATGACTCATGCCTGGAATTTTGCAAATCAATGTTGCAACATCTATGACACAATATTAAGGAATACCATGGAAATCCTGCGAAAACGATAAAAATCTCCACAATCACTTAAAAATATAGATCTAGTGTGTCTTTTTATTTCCTATCTTGATAGAATTATATCGCCCCTCCCAGTTTTCGCAAAATTGAATCGATTTGCATTGTTACTGTTTACAGAAAAATTTACAGAACCAAAAACACTTCTGCGATACACTCATATTCAGTAATAGTCCAAGAATAGCTTTGAATTATTATAAATTACGAGTAGATGTTCAACCTCATCCGAGTGGCACTTTGTTGATATGGTAATTACAAACACAACAACGCCGATAAAATAATGATTATAAAACGATGACAACATGTCAATTTCTACCTAAAAGTTATAAAATATTTTATCATATCAATATAGATTAGACTTACCTTTAACTCTTTAACGAGCAATATAAACAGGAACAATAATGACCCGGCTTAGCTCTGAAACTCGTGTACCCAAGCCACGTGGGTCCCTTAGACCATTGAGGTAACGTGCCGGACTTTTACACGATTTAAGGACTACATTGTTATTTTATAGCTAAAATCTTTTTATTTGGTTGTTTAAGAGTGTATTAATGAAGACGAATATTCAATATAATTGTTTTAACTTGAATGAACAGTAAAATTAGTTATTGTTTAACTTAAATTACATTCTCAAACATGTGCCCGGCTAGCTCAGTCGGTAGAGCACGAGACTCTTAATCTCGGGGTCGTGGGTTCGAGCCCCACGTTGGGCGAAATATTTTTCCATCGTTCGGGAGAGCGCGGATTGATTTTTAAATCAAAATCGTAAACTATACAATTGGAGAGAAGAAAACCATACTATCGAATAGTATACACCTATTTACTGGCTATGAGGACAATAGCAACTTTATCGTTCCCCAAGACAGCAACTATTTCCCGAGGCGCAGCCGAGGGAAATAGTTGCTGTCGAGGGGGACGATAAACTTGCTATTGTCCGAATAGTCAGAAAATAGGTGTTTTATTATACCGAAGCAGTTTTTACTTGTGTTACGTCACAATCAGGATAAAAGCAGAAGAGTTCCGAGATGAAAAGCGAGGGAAACAGAATGCTGCCGGTGAATAGTTTAATGACTATTTCACCATGGGCAAATAGCACAAAAACTATTCCACGGTAGGAGCTGTTTGGAAAAAATAGCATGTTTATTCGTCATATTTTTATATAGAAAAAATTCACAGAGGTATCATATAAATGTTTATAAATCCAGCATATCATCACGTTGTAATGCAGAACAGACCGAAGCCGGGACGTGTATTAAATAAAAGTGAAAACTCTCGGAATTTTTAAGAAAAAACGTTTTTCGTCGTTTTACGAAGGTAAAATTGTATTGTTGGATTGTACGCGGACTGTCGCAGAGTGTTGAAGTTGATGCTGTTATGCGGCCGGTTTGAGTAAAATGTATGCATTCAGGGGAAAAAAAGACAAATAAGACACGATAACTGTACTCTAATTGATTCCAAAAAATATAAATGAATAATCACACTAAAAAGAAAACAATAAATTCAAGGAGGGGACACTTGATGATATTATAATAGAAAGGGGACACAAAGTCGCCCCTTTGTCCCTTGCAATTTCTACTCTGCAGGTGCACTACGTGTATATCTATACAGTATAGATATGGAAGTGAAAGCTGACAAGTGCACTTCCTTCGAAATTATTATAATGTCGTGGCTAAGCATTGTATAAAGTTTTAGATATATTAAGGATTGTCAGGATACAGGGTGGGCATCACTAGATCAGCTAGCAGAAAACTTAATGCAAAGAGTCCTCGGAGGTGGTCACAAACGTATATATGAATGTACATGCATCATGGTTAAATCATGTATAAGATTATTAAATATAAGCTGTAGCAAATGACGTTTTACTTTAGGACATAAACATAACCTTTGACATAAAAAAAAAAAAAAAAAACAGAGGTCATTTACTGACTAAATTTAACGCTTATAGAGCAAACGGTTCTCAAATTGGTCTTAAATCATTAGTTTTTACATCTTCAAGAGGGATGTGCCCCAACTCGGATCTAGAGGAGGGGCCGGTGGAGGGGGGTTCCAGACCCCCCACCCCCGGATTTTCAGAGGTATCAAATTTATAAACTAAAGTAAAGTTAAAAGGAAATTTTGATTCGGATTTATTTGCGAGTGGTTGTAGATACCCCACCCTATGGGAAAAATTCCTGGGATCTGCGCATGAATCTTTTTATGAAATCGGATTGATTGATTGTATGTTGTTTTACGTTCCATTCGAGAATTTTTCCACTCATATAGAGACGGCAGCATATACAGGTGAAGGATTTCAAATTCTGACATTTACTCGGCACTAAGGGCCATTGAGCAGTGACGGTCCTTTATCGTGCCAACGCCTATCGTGACACGGGGTCTCGGTTTTTAAAGTCTCACCCGAAAGACCCACAACTTTCACTCCAAAGTGGAGAGCGCTTGGCGAATGAACAGTTGTTACCTTTTTTTATGGACTTAGGTCAGTCGGGCCGCGATTCGAACACACAACCTAGTTAGCTCCCGATATCGAAGCGAGCGCTCTACCAACTGAGCTACCGTGACGGTCTATGTAACTAAAAAGAAAGAAAATGATTTACCTGTCGTCAAATAGTTATCCGCAATACACATCTAGACTCTTCTCCACCCGCTCAGCCTTTGCTCTGTCGTGGAGCTTCCTTGGGCGTAAAAGGGGGGTGGGGAGAGGCGGCGGCAGAATTTTGATGTGTTCACAAGAACCCCCCCCCCTCCCCACCAAAAAGGAAAGAAACGATACCATATGTACAATATTAAAGACTTTTGAAGGAGAAAATTAACCAAACCCTGCTGAATATAGATTAGAAATTAACAAGAAATAGAAATTTTGATCAGGAATGGAGGATACGAACATAAACAGAAGACCAAGGATGTGGACAAGCATCTTTACATTTGTCTTTTACTACTTTACAATAATTTACAATAATTTACAACACTTTACAACATTACAGCTTTACAACTTTACAACAATGCCAATGAAGACCGAACGATTAGTCATGTTATGTACTCACTGATAATTGAAAATTTTAAAGTTGTGAAAGAGTTTAAAACACATTAAACAAAAACACAAATAATTCCATACTTGGCTACGAGCAGAATTTCAATTCATGAAAAAGAACTTAAGAACAATAAATCAACGTGATTTAATTAAGCGATTTAATTAAATAAAGAAGAGAAAGAGGCTTGTCCAAATCCTCGTCTTCTGTTACTGAACGTATCCTCCAAATTAAACGAAAAACTGACATTCTTTACAATATTAGCATCACGATTCTCTTTCTTTTTTAATATTGATTTTGAGGGAGAAGGGGGTAACCTCTCCCCACCGTAGATTGACCCCACGGAGATATTAAATCCCGACCAATCTGTTGCTAAATCGCGTAGAAATGGTGGGGTCAATCTGACCTCCTTAAACGCCCTCTGGCTTTTGCTTCTTCGCTGTTTTGTAGTATGGAAAAGAGGAATGAGTTAACATTGAAAATCATAGAAAAACAAATGGCTGGACCAGAAATCGAACCCTGGATCGCTGCATTACTAGTCAGGTGCTCTAGCCACTGAGCCATCCTGGCCGATATCCTCAATCCAGCCTAAATTATTGCAGTTAATATGTCAAACTTTTGTTAATCATTATGAGGGAAGATTAAAGAATCGGTTTACATATCAATGGTGGAATCAACTCACATTGCTACAGTTTTCGCAATGGCAAAAGAGCGGATGGCGTATTCTTCTAATATGGCTGATGTTAACCTATAGGGGTTAGAACGAACATTTATTTGAACATTTTAAACTTGGAATATATTCATATGATACTCATATTAGTTATTTATAGTGATCTTATTAGCGACAGTAAAATAAAATAAAAGTTTACTAAACCAGGATGGACATTAATGGTGTACCAATTACAGTGACTTTATAATTGGAAAAGGGACTTCAACTTCCTGTACTACAGCTGTATCTTGTCAGAACAAATTGTATTTTGATGTTGGTACAATGAATTATAATTTTGTAAATTTATTTGTAAAGGAATTGATCAAAATAAATCAATCAAACCAATCGAAACTAAGTTACTGTAATAAAATTTGAGCGGAAATGCATGCAGTTTTAAAATTGGGGAGTTTGAAGTATATATTAAAATAAAGAGCTTAGGGCTAGAACTCTTATCGTGCAGAGATGAGGACTAAACCCATATAATACTAACGTAGGTATACCTTGATTGGAGGGTAGTGCCATGTTGGGGTTCATTGGTCAACGGATAGACCTACGGACAAAACTTAGGTGGCAAGGCAATGGTAATAAGACAGATAATAATCCGGGACCATGATTACTCTCTAAGCATTAAAATATCCAGTTTGCCTGAAAATGGATCTTTTTTGGAAAATTTGGACTTTTTACATCTTTTTAGGTTACCTCAGTTATTCAAATTGTGAAATTTGTGACCTGAGGATCAGGAGTTCTGGTGTTGGACGGCGAGAGGGGATCTCTATTGTTTATTTAGTTAAAATGCATTATTTCTTTGAAAATCCTTTTTTCTTTACATGCGTATTAAGGAAACAACCAAAGTGCATACTTATGATGAGCAAGTGTGCCTGTGAATTTCATGGCACCTGGGTCAGAGGTTTTGTTTTTAACTAGGGGCTTTTTTGATTAAGTAGGGAAAGTGCATTAATTCTTTGAAAATCTTCTGCCCTGCTTCTGGGTATTTAGCAGACAAACTAAGTGCATGACTATGATGAGCAATGGTACTTCTCCCAAAATTGTGAATTTCATGGCCCTTGGGTTATTAGAGTTCTGTGTTAGGGCAGGGCTCTATTGATCAGATAGTGAACAATCCATAAATTTTTAACTATCTTCTTGTCTGCCCCTGGGTATTTAGCAGACAAACTAATTGTATTTTTATGGCGAGCAAGGGTACCTCTTTCAAAATTGTGAATTTTGTGGCCCCGGAATCTGGCGTTGAAAGGGGGGGGGGGCTCCATTTATTATTATAGTGAAAATGCATTTTTTCTTTGAAAATTTTCTTTTCTTCTCATGGGTATTAAGCAAATGAACAAAATGCATACTTATGATGAGCTATTATGCCTCTTCCAAAATTGTGAATTTCATGGCAACTGAATCAGAGGTTCTATTTTTAGGGCAGGGCTGTGTTGAATGTATAGTTAAAAAGCATTATTTCTTTGAAAATCTTTTTTTGTACTCATGGGCATCTAAGAGCAAACAGAATACAACGTTGTCATAAGCAAAGGTATTTCTACCAGATTCTATTAGGAGAAGTTATTCCCCTTTGCTTTTAATCACGGCCTTTTGTTAAGCTATCTTTTAATTGGAACTTTTATTGCTTTTGGGCTTTTTGGCTGACTCTTGGTTCCATCCTCGCAAGCCAGGGGTCTTGAGTCAACACGTTGCCGTTGGACCCCTGGCATATTTCATTCAATATTGGTGGGCTTGCTTCTCTCATTGAGAAGCACCAATCAAATTAAGGCTTTCATAAATAGTTAGATAAGGATTCAGTTGACACCTAAATGCACGTGTTACAAGTTGTTTATCATAGAATGGCTTAATGTGATTGGTTGAGAGATAAGAAAAACAATCAAGATTTGCAATTTTTCCAAAAGACGTCGCTGCAGTCAGCCCACAAATATTGAATGAAATATGCCAGGGGTCCAACGGCAACGTGTTGACTCAAGACCCCTGGCTTGCGAGGATGTCTTGGTTCTTACTCTCAGCTCTTCTTGAATATTTTGGCAATTTTGGACTAATCTTGTAAATCATTCCTTGTAATACCAATTATGTTGGTCTATTCTATGAGCATTCAGGAATTACAATAAAAACTATACGATCACAGTGTTTAAACTTTTGAAAAAAGAAAATCTTTTTTATTGGCTTACTCTGGGGATTTGAATTTCTGGAGTGGATTCTGCAGGTTCTTGTTCTGGCTCGCTGTCGTCTTTGGAGCCTGGCTCGGCTATCACTCCCTGATTCATTTTGCGAATTTTTCGCAAAATCAGGGAGCCCAGAGCCAGGCATCCAAAGGGCTATTGAAAATAAAACATGTCTTATAGATTAGATTCCTTTAACAAGTTTAAAAGTTAAATTAACACTTTTCAAGTATACTTTCGTACAACTAACAAATACCAATGTTGATCTTGAGAATATTTAAATGGTACTTTCTTAAGTAAATAAAACTTGAATTCAAATTCTCAATTATGGCCTGAAGTGACCACAGGGAATAGCGATATCACTTAACGACACTATGAGGGAACTATCCTTTCTGACATTTTTCTTAAATAAAATTTGCAACATGACGAATTTAAAGCACTATTTTCAGATTTTATTTTTTAAATTAAAAATGTCAGAAAGGACAGGACTTCTAGATATGAATTTCACAATTCTATTGTCATGCATTGAAAACTCAAAAGTAGATATTAATAAAAGGATAAATGCTAGAAAATATATGCTACCCCCCCCCCCTCGTGCTTTATTATGACTGGCTCAACCCCCCCGTGCTTCATTATGACTGGCTCAATCCTGTCCTGACCCCAGGACCACGATTTGAATGAAGATGTACAAATGCAATAATTATTGAAAGGTTCTTGGTTTTCTAGTTGGAAAAAATTACATGCATAAAATTTTGCATAGCTACGCATATACTAATTTACTACTTTTTATAAACAATACAAGAAATCATTTAAATTCTTAAATTAATCTTTTTGTAAATAAGAATTTCATCATCAAGTAAAATCCTCTTTATCTTATCCCCAAAAATGGCAAATGAAAAAAAACGCAAAACGTGTAAACCCCCCCCCTCCCACTTCCTTCACTTTCCCCCATGATTTTCGGTTTTAATTTTTAGCAAAATCCTCAATATTCGGAATATTGAAATTAGAGACTGAAAAGAAGACTCTATATATTTCAGGGATTTTAAGTTCCTTTTAATCAGTGATTCTCAAATGATGGTTATGATATTAACTAGCAGAATATTAATGAAATTTAACCTTGCAAGACCTAGTCGCAATTTCTGAAAGTCATGGGGTCATGTGAATATTTCTAGTAACTTTTCTAAAATTAAAAAAGGGGGGGGGTCACTAGTCGACACCAGCAGTTGCGCATTCAAAAGGTAGAATTTTTGGGTAAATGTACTTACAGCCGAACAAGAACCTGTGATGCTTTGTGCTTCTTGCCCAAGTTGGCCCATAATATTCGAAGCCGTATCTCTGAATGGAAAAATAATTTTAAAAAAACGTGAAAAAACCCAATAGGAATGGATTTGTATACATAGATACAGGGTAGTAATTCAATGAACATTGAAAACTTACTTTATAATCGACTGAAACATTGAATGCATCATCGTGACTATGTTGATGGTCGAGAGACTGATCGACGATATAATGATGATGACGCCATTATGACGCCATGACAACAACCAACAGAGTTGTCTTTCTTTTTTTCCCAACCATTGCAACCAATAGAGTTGTCGTTCTTTTTCTTTTCTTTTCATCTCTTGAAAACAGCCTCAGATTTACGTATTCCTTCACTTCTTTATTGAATCCATCACAGATGATACTTTTTCCCATTAGTACAAATGACTTGACATGTTTGAATATATTAGTTAGTTTTATTCAAAGAAATATTTTTTTTTTACCTTTAACATTAAACATACGTAAATTTTGGAAATTAGTTAAATATTATGTGGTCACTATTTGCTGACTTAACAAGTGTCAACATTATCTGTGAAAAAAAAAAATCCGCTAAAATGTCCCTTGAATTAATTTTTACAGGTAACTTATTTTCCTACCGCTAAAATGTCCTATAAATCTTCTGCTAAAATGTACATTCACACCTTTAGCAATTCCTTTAAGATGTCCGCCGATGAACTACTCAGTATATATAGACACGGTGTTTGTACAAATTGACGTTAAGTCAAAATAACGTTATTAAAGTCATAACATTGTTACAACGTTTTAAACTTTATACATGTAATTGCATATTTTAATTGTCTTAATGTGAATTTTTTATTTTAAAAAAATATATCAAAATAAAATAACAGGGCACAAAATTTTCATTGTTTGGATCTTCGTTGAAAATATTAAGATGTACTCTAAAAAATTTTTTTGATCTTATAAGTAAATTGTAAGATTTTTAATATGGAATTGACACAGGCATACATATCCTTATACATATCTTTGATTCCTCTTTCTATTTCTTTTTTCTCACTTTAAACTCTCTATCTTGCAAAGAGAAAACACATTAGTAGCTTTCTTTTCAACCATTTATCCTTCTTTTTTTTTCATTAGGTCATTTCAAGTTTTCTATTTAAATCAAACCCCGCATGCCTCTTGGTTTTTGACACCCAAGATTAAAGAAAAGAACAGAAAATCGGTAGTCCTTCCATGCGCGGTTCCAGGAATTTTTTTCCGAAGGGGGGTCACACCAACTCCAAAAAATATGATTCCCAAAGTTTTTGACAAGCAAAAAATAATTATAAATGAAAATCCCAGGGGGGAAGGGGTCCGGACCCCCCTTCCCTCCCCCGCCTGCCTTTTTTATTGAAACCTTTAAAATTCTGTCATTTTCTTTCTATATTTTTCTAAAATATGTTAAATTAGGTTATGTACTGCCCCTGATTTTGCAAAGTAATATATTTTTTCTACGATAGAGAAAATGTGTCTTTCTACGAGAAAAATGGAATTATGAAATCAAAACATCTGAGTGATGTAATTTTTTATGACAACCGGTGTACAAAGTAGGATTTCCCCCATAACCAGTTTCCCCCGGAATCTGTACTCAGGAGTAAGATCTCCCCTGAGGGAAATCTTATACTAGAGCCTAATTTCCCCCTCTTTCTTTCTCAGAGTAGGTTTTCCCATGTTTTATCAATGCTTAAATTATATTGACATTATTGAAGTTTATATGAAAGTCAACTGGTTTTTTAATGTAGATATTAGTGTTTTCGCTTAAGAATTGTTCAAATTTAGTGTGAAATCTTAGTAGTGAAAAAATACGAAACAAGAAGCACAGCTCTTGGAAGCCGTAGGATAGGTATGACCCCTCGACCACAGCTCTAGGTGTAATACTGGACAGCTAATTTTTATATTTAAACCCAAGAAACTTGGAGAGATACTTACAAATCAATATTATGTACATGTAGTTTGATGAAATATAACTGGAGAGAAAAAAATCCATTAAAAATAAAATTCCTCAGTTTTTTTTTTTGTTTTTTTTTTAAATTAAATGTTGACACAACTCGACATTTTTATTACAATTTTTGTGATGTCTAATGCGAGAGCACCTGTGGGAAAATTATAGAAGGGATATTTGTAACCATGTGTCGCCCTCTCCCTCTCAAATATAAGTACTGGCATGATATTATATAGGAGAAAAAAGGGGGTAAATTGGCTCTTGAGGGAATCGCACTTTATAACTGTTACACAGAGCAGGGATTCCCCCGGAAAATTGAATCTGGTGTGGGATTTCTGTAGGGGTAATACTACTCAAGAGTCAGTTTTCCGAGAAAGATTTGAGAGGGGAAAGACCGGTGTAAAGTTCTTGTTTTAATTTTGGGCTTTTGATTGTACTGATATGTTTCTGTGAATCGGTAGATCGGTTCTAGAATTAAAGGAGGTCGCTTAACTGAAAAAAAAAATTAAATTGCCTTATATTGAATTGAACTTTTCTTCTTTTTCTTCAGCCCAAGTAGTTATGCTCTCTTTATAAATGGGGGGGGGGGGTTATTGACAAAAAAGGAGGAATGGGGACGTTTCGCTATTAAAAATCCTACGAAATTATAAAAAAAAAATGGCTGATCACCAAATTCAGAAATCCTATTACTTTTTTGGTGTGTGGGGGATAGGGGGTATTCTCATTCTCAGCAAAAAATTGAGAACAATAACGTGATATGTTTAGATATTGCTGCAAAAAATTAAAAAAGGCGGTAGCGCGGCCGTTGAATGAAAATTTTCAGAAAATTTAAAGCAAAAGATTATTCTAAAATAATGGGAGGAGGACCTACTACCCTACTTGGTACTCCGGACCATTGGAATTGGAAAAAAGAGCACGGCGATAACAATTTGACGCTCCCGACGTCATTTATATATAATTATGTAGTGCGTAATATGACGTTTTTCGTACCTGTGACAAAATAGCTACATTGTAATTGATGTTTGCATTTATTTCATATGTAGACAATTATACCGTAAAAAAAATATATTCTTATCTAAAGCATATGTTTAACGCGAAGAAAAGAAGTTATTTAGTATTTTAAAAAATGAGAATACAGAAAAGAGAAAGAAAACGAATAAATCTTAATTAAACATGACATTTACTTAAATGGCAAACAATTCCATTAATGGTAATGAAAAACTACGTATTCGACATTGTAGATCGACCTATGATTGTGGTACAATTTTTCACTTTTAAATAGGTCAATGACCTACTTTTCATGCTATCGGCCTCGGTATTTCTAATACAAGATCGGGAATATTTTTTTTCTTCCTAGACAAAATGTACAGGCACTAAAGGCTTGTAACAGCCAGGTTTCAAAAGGGAGGGGGCAACTCTCCCCCCCCCCACCCCCCAAGTAAAAAACATCCTTAACTGTCCCAGTCCTGGAGTTTGCCAGTGCGCTCGACCCTACAGACAGCAACCAAAAAAGGGGGGCTTCCAGCATCTAAAAGAAAATACTCAGAAAAAAGTGGGGATCTCGATCTTGCCTCCCCCCCCCCCCCCCCGCGTTCTACGGGCTTATCCTACTTTGGTTAATGAATCCATACATGTATAATTTGAAATTGATATTCCTTTAGTTCATGGTTATTTTGTCAGTTTAGAAGAACCTTTAATTTAAGACGTTGAACTTGAGTTTCTGTCTACTAAAACCCAGAGTAAACGCGTCATCCTTAAACAGAAATGTAAGACTTGTCTGTAAAACCGACATTGAATGGATGTATTTATTTATTTATTTATTTATTTATTTATTTATTTATTTATTTATTTATTCATTCTTTATTTATTTATTTATTTGGGTTGCAATCGCCCCCCCCACCCCCCTTTGAAGAAAAAGTAAATAAAGCAAATTCACTAAAATACTTAGTAATTAATGTTGACCCTGCTTAACTTTGTTCAATTAATTTAAAAAGAATTTACACCGGAACCTACCAAAATGGCACCCATCTAAAAGATGTCGGGCTTGAGAAAGGGAGTAACCCCCCCCCCCCCTTCCAGAAACCTGGTGACTACCTTGACTATACTGATCATCATTATGATAACATATTATTGAAAATTTCCAAATTAACCCCCCCCCCCCCAAAAAAAATGAAATGAACTATTTGCAAAAATATCCGTAACAGAAAGTTCTGTGTTTTGGTGATAAATTATTGATTTTTGTCAGCCTCGGTATCAGTGCCATGTCGCCTGCTCCGGTTGGCATGCATGACTGACAATAAGTTCTTCGATAAATCAATATTGGTTACAGAAAGTCCTTGCTTTGACAGAAAGAATGGCGACAACAAATTGTGGGTCGTCAGCTTCGAACCCGTCATTCAAGACTCCTCTTAGACGATGCGCAGAGATTTGATTTCAAGACTCTGATATTGGAAGATCAAAATGGAAACTGAGTTCGCATTTTCGACGCCAACATGGGGTAATAATGTAAGAGCGTTCCTGTCTCAGTTTTCGGATGTGTTTAGTGCTTTTGCCCGTTATATTTCGCCATCTTATCATCATGACAGATGCGAACGGTAAAAATTGAAGAGTTTTTTTGTTTTTGTTTTTTGAGATCTTTCAGGGTGGCATTCTGGCTTTTGTCTCTCATTGTATGTATGCACAAACACGTGTACATTAATGATATTCAAATTATAATAAAGTACCAGGAACCTATATACTATATATAGTATGAAGGTCCCTGAAAGTACTCAGTACATACACTGTACAAAAGGTTTCCAATGCCAGTAAGATGAACTTTGTACCGGTATGTCTGGAAGACATTTCATGATTTGGTTAACTTATTTGATTCATTGTCATTCAAGCTATGGTAAGAGTATTGTCTGAAATAATTTGTGAAATTAAAAAACAAACAAGAAATATTTTTGTCGAGTTTATCAAAAAATTATAGGAAAGAAGATCCTAGGAATAAAAAACTGAGAGAGAGAGAGAGAGAGAGAGAGAGAGAGAGAGAGAGAGAGAGAGAGAGAGAGAGAGAGAGAGAGAGAGAGAGAGATTCTGACTTTATACTCCTTTTTTAATTACTAGTCATAATTTGAGATTATTTCAGATTTTTTTGGTAGAAATTCCAGTTTGGTCGTTATAGATCGGGCTCTGGGTTCGTAAATTAGAAACCCTGTAGCAGATGCCACTTCCGAGACAAAATCCAAACAAATGACAACAATATAGATATTGACTTACTTGAAGAGGGGGTAATCTGCCAACATGGCAAAAGAAATCGAATTGTAAGACCAACATCTCGATATTCAAATCATTTGTTAGCCTAAAATATTTCGCAATGACACACTGCTTTACGAGATGAATGATTTGTTGACTTTTGATAAGTGTGTTATTTTCAGCATCTTTACACGAGATTATCATCAGTTGTATAAAATCGAGGGATTGAGAACTTGCCATAGGATTGTACATTTAGATTTAATCCTCTTATACTTTGAAAATATGTTTAAGGATTGTGAGACATTCAGTTTATTAAAGATATTTTCATCAACTGTCATAGTTCATAATCAGTGACTCTCTCTTTGAACCAGTCATCAATCAAGGCTCTCTAACCACTTTTTGGTACAGGGACGAGGTCCACTAAAATTTAGAAAATCAACATAAAAAGGGTTTAAAAATCATCAAATTTCGAATTTCTGGAAAAATGTATATATGCACTTTTCAGCTGGGGAGAAAAGTTGAGTGTCATTGGATCTATAAAAAAAAGAAGCAGTTTAGCTTGGAAACTGTTTAAGGCAGTCAATAATATTATCTAGTTTTTCATCATTAAAGTATCTGGTCATTCTAGCTATGGACTTTCGCAAATATTTATTAAACTTCATCCTTTTTAAAATCCACAGAGGAGACAAGATTTTTTAAATTATGTTGTTTGTATTCAGATTTTGATATTTTTCCAATTAGTTCAGTACAGATGAGACTGTATGCCCTCAGCAAGAGACAGTTTGTGATGGTTTATATCATCTTTTTTGTGTGCTTTGGCATCAGTGTTTTAGTTGGAGTAACAGGTCAGTCATTGTTTATTTTTTTCTTTTTAAACAATGTTAAAATTTAACACACATGCATACACATATACATGAAGATATCAAACATACTTCTTTTTTTTTTGGGGGGGGGGGTGAAATGCAAACAGAAGATATACTTTTATGAAATGTTGGGTTCAAACTTTAAAACATATATAAGAATTAGTGTTCATATATCTTTACCTGTGAAGCCATAAGGTAAAGGTTGAGAAAAAATATTTAGATCAGCAATAATTATTTTAGACATTTCCTAGTTTTTTTCACAGTTTGGATAATTGACATGCCAATTGTTTAGAACTTTTTTATTTAGAACTTCTTTCATATAAATTTAGATATTTAACATTCAAGGCATGTCAAATACTGTTAACATATATTACTTATTTTATTGATAATACATTTTAATAAATTGATTGTATCCTGTCAAAAATTGATATGACTTGTGAAATTTCAGGCCCTCCAATAATTGAGACTGTATCCCAAAATTCGTCTGCTTTACCAAACTCCAGTGGCATCAATAAAAAGGTAACACTGATCGTGCTAAGGAAACTTATCCAAAATTGAGCATATTTATTAATTTAAAGCTGAACATGAATTGTAAATAAGCATAAACCATTTTAGTTTTGCTATCTCCGATATCAGCACTGGGGTATACCCTTCATATTCGTTACACCTGATTGCTTTCTTATCACAGATACCTGCGTGGAATGGGCGGCACATGTTCATGTTGGTTATCTTACATTATCTTTGTTTACATTTTATTGCAGTTTACACGTGTTTGTGTTTAATTATACTGCACTGATCTGTGCAACTGATGTAAGTTTCTTTGGTAACTTTCTCATTTGCCGTGGAAGATGCACACACTAACTCTTGTTGCTACTGAAAGTTTTACAATATCTATGTAGAATACGTCCATCCTCACTGTGAAACTGATTACACTAACTCGAGTCCAGGTGAACAACTTATATAGGGGCATAGAGCTAACCGAAAATGCAGAGTAATATGGCAGACAAACACAGATCTCTGCCTTTTACGAATTGCAATTGCGTTCAGCTGTAATATTGAATTATCATGAATATTTCCAACCTTACTGGGAAAGCAATATCATTAATCTTTTTTATATTGTCATATTGTAGACCGGACCATTTGTTTTGAAGTCACCCCCGATGTCCACATTTCATCAGCAGCTGTGGTTAATTGCAGATATAAGAACTGATAGTAAAGGAGGTATGCTCGGCAAATACTGTAAATCACCAAATTTTCGCGAGACCTTATTTTCACAAGATAGGTACAGTACTTGGTATTTATACGAGGGACAAAATTTTCACGAATTCTGGTTTTTGCTGTATATTAAGCTATGCTAATAAAATTTTGGAAGCTAGAATGAAATTTTCGCAAGCAGACAATCTGGGAAAACTATGCGAAAATAAAGTTCTCGTGAATAAAAAGTGATTTACAGTACCTGGTTCATGTAAATAATAATGCATACTGGGAAATTTTATTTTATTTTTGATAATATGTATTTTGCCAACTGAAATTAAAAAAAAAAGTGTCACACATCCTAAATGGGCAAGCCAAAGCTGGGATAATTAAGCAGAGGACACAATGCTGGTTAGTAGTAAAATGGCTGCAGAGTTAATTTTTAAGGACAAAACAGATTTTTAAGGAGTTCGGAAAAATATGCTGCCAATTAAATTTTATTGTACACAGTACTCTGGGGGTAGTGCTCTGTTACTGAGGACAGAGGTATATATACACAAAATAATACGGATGATTACTGTAGATTCCTTATTTTACGCGGGTACTTAATATCGCGAAATGGCCCTTAAACGTCAAATCGCGAGAACAATAATTCGCGAATGGATGGTTGATCTACTGATTTTACATGGATTTCAGCACAATAAAAATAAAAACGAGTAATTTTATTTCGCGAGAGATGCTTCTCGCGTAATTACGCGATAATTAATTCCTCACGAATATTTAGGAATCTACAGTATAGAGACTTATTATGTAGAACTATATGATATGATCCCTTTGCACACTCAGATTATTGAAATTATAAAGTCTTAAAACAATTTCAGGATACAATTACACCATAGTTGTATTAAATGCAAATATTTAATTCTGAGGGAAATTGATGAAGAAAATTAAGCTCTTTTTCTGTAATATGACATTAGTATTAGACATAAATAAATCTAGTAGGGGGGTAAAATATAGTATAATAGATTTATAAATTCTTGATATTAAAATACATGTACTACTCACAAAAAATGCATATTTGTTAAGTTTCTTTCAATATAGAATCAACTTTATTTGCTGCACTACTTATTTTTCCAAATCTCTTTTTTCCTTCAGGCTCCCGTTTTGAGCAGCCATTCACGGTCAGTGTTCAGATAAGGGGACTTAAATCTGACGAGGAACTACTGTCCTCAACCAAAAACCCAGAACTCAACACTCATACTCACAACAGGTCCAGAGTGTTACGGTGTTCTAATGTAAGAAAGGGGAAAAATTCCATATATTGTTATCAACAATGTAAAAACCTACAGATATATCAAAGGATTTTTTGATTAATTTATTCAAAATATAGAGAGCATCTTAAATCAATTAATAACATACATGTAAATACTAATTCATCATGAAAATAATCTTGAAGGTCTACTAACCAAACATAACCATGCTGACCTAAATTTTTTTTTCCATTTTTAACTTGTACATGTAATTCTATGTTTGTAGTTTATTAATTTTCTTGACCACATACATCTGTACTTTCCCTTTATTTACCATTTGTTTATTTGTTAATACACATGTAGTACTTTTAAAGATTGAAAGGGGGAATATATAAACAATGTCTCTCCAATATCCATGGTTATTAGAATTTGCCATGAATGTTTCATCAGCACACACTTTCTTTTTGGCACAATAGTATACTAAAACAGTCACATGATTTGCAGTATACTTGAAATTCAGCTTCTCCAACATAGATATATAAATTAAGCTACATGTAGAGATCAGCTAGTTATCAGCCAAGTCTATATATAGAATTTTAATAACTGTAGATCAGCAGATTTTTGTGATACCTTATTTTTATGAGATACATGTAGTTATTTGGAATGTACATGTACATGAGACAAAATTTTCATGATTTATGACTTTTGCTGTAATCTTTATTAATACAAATATACGCACGAATAAAAGCAGCTGTCTTGCTTTATTATGCAAAAACAAAGTTCCCACAGTTGGAAAATGATTTACAGTATCACATTAATTGCTCTCCTAAACCCACTGACATCGGAAGGTTTCTGGTCATTGTCACAAAGTTGTAGATACCAGAGTACATGTCACTGTTCGTATACAGATAGTGGCCTAAGATCTGTAAAATTTTATTTTTGGTTTTCAGAAATGTGATGATCTGATATTGCTGCACCTGGGATACCTAGATTTTTACCGTTATATTATCACCGTCGAGTTTTATGGGCTAGAGAACACCAAGTTTCACTTCAGTGACATTATATTTCATGTGAGTATTTCTATGCTGTAGAAAAACAAAATGGTTATCAAACTTATGAGGTCCATCAAAATGAAATTACTGTTGCTATAATTTTATATTTCAAATTGAACTTTTTGAAAAGATCAATATGTACATGTATGTGCATAAGACTATGAGTTTGCATAATCATTATTTTTTTTTTTAAATACTAGTTTGAAACCTGATCAATTTTACTGTGGTATGAATTAATTTTGACTTAAGTTGAGTGATTTTAGCTGACACTTGAGACAGAGGCTTATATGAGCTTTTCTTATCAAAATGTATATACGAAAATTGAATGTTTATTGTGTATAAAGAAGTTTACAAAGTTTTGAATTGTGTATGAATAAGTGTACAAAGTTTTGAATAGAATTACATGTGTGAACAAGAACAACAATCATATATAATTTGTAAACTCAGCATTAAGTCTCAGTGTACTGTGAATTTATCATCATGGATATAAATTATGGTTACAATGAATTGTCTCAGTACCATATATTCATTTGGCAGTGAGTCTCAATCAGCCTCATTTAATATTGCCTTCTTTTATGACAAATGTACATGTATTTCATATACTTAAGCTAACCATTAAATGTAAATAGATCAGTAAGCTTTGTTTGATACTTAAAGTAGGTTTTCTTTGTAGTTTAAGAGTTACAACACTTCCTTCACTAACACAGAGATCTGGATAAGATTTGTTTTTCTGTTCCTGACTTTCATTGTCACAGTAAGTATACACACAGATTTATTAAGTTTCTGGGGAGAGAGAGAAAGAGAGAGTGAAAAAAGTAAAAACATTAAAAATTTATGCATACTTATACATGTGTGTATATATCAAATAACTTGTTCATCTTTTGTCAGAATATAAGATTATAGGTAAAGATTTGATATTTTTAGGAAAAAATGATCTGAATTAAACAAAGCTGATTTTACTCCAGGATTCAGAGGAAAAAATGCTTGAACTTTTGTGTTTTCAGTGTTTGTACCAGGGTATGCTCATTCACCGAGAAAATTTTTCATGCATGACTGGTCATATTTGAAATTTTATTATTTCGGTGTGTGTATGCTCATTCACTGAGGAAATTTTCCATGCGTGACTGGTCATATTTTAAATTTTGTTGTTCCAGTGTGTGTATGCTCATTCACTGAGGAAATTTTATATTCGTGACTGGTCATATTTTAAATTTTGTTGTTCCAGTTGTGTATAATGCTCATTCACTGAGGAAATTTTCCATGCGTGACTGGTCATATTTAAAATTTTGTTGTTCCAGTGTGTGTATGCTCATTCACTGAGGAAATTTTCCATGCGTGACTGGTCATATTTTAAATTTTGTTGTTCCAGTGTGTGTATGCTCATTCACTGAGGAAATTTTCCATGCGTGACTGGTCATTTGAACAGAGGTGGATAACATTGCTGTTACCTTTACTACTGTTATACAATGGTTTGTATAAATTACAGTCAAACTTAGTTATCTCGAGTTTGATGGGATTAAGAAAAAAACTTAGAGGTTTCCATTGGTTAGAAATATTGAGGGTTAAATACTTGAAGAAAAAGAGCTTGGGACTTCCAAATCATTTCGGCATATCCATGGTGTTCGAGATACCAAAGATCAGCTGTATTTTATTTTGAAAATTTGTCAAGTATATAAGACTGATGACAGTGAAACCTTGTTATCTCAAACTCAATGAGGCAAAAAAAGCAATATTCACAGATTTAAGATATTAAGGTTAAAATACAGGAAGGAAAGAGACTTCCACCTAACCTCCAGATACTGAAGATTCCTTATTTTACGCGAGTAGTTAATATCGCGAAATGGCCTTTAGAAATCAAATCACGTGATAAATAATCCGCAAGTGGAAGGTTAATTAAAAGATTTTACATGAATTTCAGTACCATAAAAATATAAGCGAGTAATTTTATTTTGCGTATTTACATGATAATTTATTCCTCGCTTATACTTAGGAATCTACAGTATCTACATTGTAGTATGATATTTGAGATATTGAAGTTTAACCGCATGCATACATGTATGTATTTATCTTCTTGAAAGAGTCTATTTTTCTATATTCATTTGTTTATAAAGGATTTCTTCACATTGACTTGACTTAGATTGACTTTGTCAGTTGTTGCATAAAGACACCATGTTCTAATACTAGTATTTGTGTGCCACATGCTGTCACTGAACTTGATTCTCATCTCATGGTTATCTTTAAAAGTTTGTTAAAAAAAGACTTAAAACTTAGATGTCAGTTTTAACTGATAAAGTCAAATTGTAGAAATATTAATACTGGCACATATATCTTTAAATGATTAAATCCCAGCAAACCTTTGAGCACCCAGAATTATGTTTTTAATTCCATTGTCTGTATTTCAGATCCCTTATTTCCCCTGACATTCCTCGTTAACAGCTGGGTGCCAGGGATGTTTGATGCCATCTTCCAGGCCTCCTTCCTTTGTGCCCTGTTACTGTTCTGGTTGTGTATATATCATGGAGTCAGACAGGTTTGTCATTCATAATGTAAAAAGTGTAACACGTACATGCCATTATATGTCTATGGCTTAAATCTTTAAAACAAGTACATGTATACCCAAATACTGTAGAGGCAGGAATTCTCAGGGATGTAAAATTTTGTTGATTTGTGATCTAAAATAACTTCATGGGGACTTAAATTTGTTGTTGTAAATATATACAGTGTACATGTAAGTTTGTTGTTTTAAACATATACATGTATATAAGCATATTAGATTAACCATATAAAAAGTTATTTTTAGGGATTTAATATCATTGATAAATATCATGAACAAAATGTTTTTCTCAAGGAATATTTCTGCATTCACAAAAACTAGATGCTTAATATTTTATCAAACAAATGACTCTTCTTCCATTTGCTAAATTTTAATTCCTCTGCTTCCAATAGAGACGTATTTCAGATAATAGCTACATGACTGTATATAGTTTCATAATACAGTTACTCTAATTCGTGCTTCCCAGGTTATTTATTTAGTGTACTTCTCAGGATAGGGCCTTTATCTATAAGGATTCTTTTGCATTGTAGACTGACAGGAGATTTTGTAAGTTTTATTTGCCAAAATTACTAGTGGTGGGGTTGATATGGATATCAGCTGTGACGATAGCTTCATGGCAGGAGTATAATGAAATCCAGGATCCCACATATTTCTACAGGCTGGACACAACAAATTTTACGGTAAAGATATTTAATCAATAGTGAAGTTTCAAGTACAATAGTCTCTTTGTACTTGTGTTGCATTGAACAAATATCAACTTCCTAGAATTTCTAGCTATGATGACTTTAAAGTTATTGATTGTTTGAAAAATGAAATAACAATTGTTTAGCTATTTTTGTCTAAAAGTTGACCAACATTTTTCTTCAACAAAAAAATCTTGATAATTTTTAAACTGTTTCATCTTTTATACCATTAATTTTGGTGTAACTTTTTTGGAGTACATGGAGTTCCACAACTTTGCAAACCAGTAGAATAATTTTTACCACTTAAAAAGAGAGTACTTACTAGATATAAAAAGAAATATAAAAAAACAATGATTTTACATCAAAATAGATCAAATCATGAATAACCGTCTAAATGAGTTCAATGCAGACTTAAATACTAGTAAAAGCAGAAAGAGGAAGTTTGAAACTGATCAAGGTTATCTTTCTTGAGTCCAGTACTTATACTGTAGTCAAGGGTGCAAACTTATCAATTAAAATGTTAATGGGCTACTATGAAACCACTAAAATAAACCAGAGTTAGCACACGCTATACATTATTCCATTATGCATGAAATGATGATCAGTTTTGACATTTTCAGGGTTTTATGATTTTCTGCTTTGTTCTGTGTATGAAATGAGGACTTCTTTTGTCATTTTCAGGGTTTTAAGATATTCTTCTTTGTTGTGGGAGGCCTGTATCTGTTGTATTTGCTCTATCTTCTGGTCAGGGCTTATGCTGAGCTGCGCTCCATGCCATACTTTGGTAAGTAATAATCCCCTAGAAGAAAAGTCGTACTATAAAACATCCATACTTTGCTGTGTTTGCTCTTGATTTCTTCCACCCTTTTCACCCTTCTGATAGAAAGATTTTAATGTCTTACCTTCACATTCACACTAGATTAGTATGGAAAATGGTGAAATGTGTTTCAAGGTATTTTAATATTTTTTTCTGTATATGCTTGACTGCTCTTTACTGTACATTGTACACATGTGACCATAAACTCTACATTACCAGATCTGAGGTTAAAGTTCATGACCTTCCTCATGCTTATCGTCCTGTCCATCAGTATTGCGATCACTGCCATGAAGTTTGGTGCTGCCGCCCTACAAGATAATTTTGTGGCAGAGATTTCTACAAACTACGAGAATTCCATAGAGTTTGTCTCCTTCTATGGCCTTCTGAACTTCTACATGTATACTATGGCATTTGTGTACTCTCCCTCTAAAAATGCACAGTATGGTGAGTAACCCAATATTATAGTAAACTCAACCACTAGTTACATTGTACAAGGAGTTATTTTCATCCCATGTTATTTTTGCTCTCTCATACTTGAAAACAATTTTGCCCAGTTTTAAATATGCTCAGACACATTTGAAAAGATTGTTTACAATTAAAGTCTTCAGTTAGGGTATCATAAGAGAGTGTAATGTAATTTCATACAATTTTTATCTTGAATTGAAAGTTATTCAACAAAAATGTTTTCGTTTATGACAGAAACAAATTTTAAAGACAATCCAGCATTATCCATGTTGAATGATTCTGATGAAGAAGTGCATTATGGGTAAGAGTATTTTCATCCTAAAGACAATAATATAAAGAAACTAGAAACTCATTGCGAGCAATGAGAGGTCTTCCGTTCGATTTTGAATATAAAAAACGTAAATTCAAGATGAAAAGGTGATAAAAGAAATTCAGACACTCTGGAGATTTAACCCTGGTTGTCAGCGTGAAAATCCAACGTGCTCTCCATTAACCATTCACTTTTTTGCATCACTTCCTGTCACGACCGGAAGTAACAGCGATACAATATTTCCTCGCGATTCAAATAAACTGATTACTGACTATCAGTTCTGAAAGTTTTAGACTTCAGTCGTTTACTGTTGCCGAGCAATATTGTGAGAACAAATTCTAATTCTGAGGACAGGTAAACACGCGACCGGAAGTGAATTTTATAAAAAAAAAAAAATCTCTGACGTTTCGCTATACATTTGCAGTATCTACAAAATGCATAAAAAGATTTCAAGTACTTTATCGAGAAGCAATATTTATGAGAAAGTTAAATATAGAAATAACGTAGTTTATCACCTAAAACCGGAAGTTGACGTTTTTGTTTCGGGTGGAATCTAACATACTTCAAAACAGTGAAAGAGATGCAATAAAGTAATGCAAACTTTAATTTAAAAAAGAAAAGTTAAAATTTTTGATTTCTTCGATCACTTCCTGTGACGACCGGAAGTTACGACTGACGCGTTTAACCAATATGGTTTTGCCTACTCCTCAAGGTCTGCTACTCATAAAAATTTGGTGTTTTAATCTTTTACCTGTTTTTGAGATTTCGCTCAGACAATTTTTCATTTTGAGGACAGAAAAACACGCAACCGGAAGTGAATTTTTGAAAGATATTTGAAGTTACTGTAGACCTTTGCAGTCTTGAATAACATATTTAAAATTCATTTCAAATACATTATCTATAAAAAATATTTATAGGAAAGTAAAATACTCAAATTTTGTAGTTTTTCTCTTATAACCGGAAGTTGTCGTTTTTGTTTCCGGTGGGACCAACATTTTTCGAATCTGCGAAAAAGATGCAATAAAGTAATGTAATTCTTAAATAAAAAAAGAAAAGTTGAAATTTTGGATTTCTTTGATCACTTCCTGTGACGACCGGAAGTAACAGCTGACGCTCTGAACCCAAATGGTTTTGGCTACATCTTAAGGTCTGTTGCTCATATAAGTCTGATGTCTTAATCTCTTACCGTTTCCGAGATCTTGTTCAGACAACTTCTCATTTTGAGGACAGAAAAAAACGCGACCGGAAGTGAATTTTTGAAAGATATTTGACGTTACTCTAGACATTTGCAGTCTGAACAACATATTCAAAATTCATTCTCAATACTTTATCTACAAAAGATATTAATGGGAAAGAAAAATACTCAAATTATGTAGTTTTTCTCGTATAACCGGAAGTTGACATTTTTGTTTCCGGTGGGACCAACATATTTCAAAACTACAAAAGAGATGCAATAATGTAATGTAGGTATTAATTTAAAAAAGGAAAGTTGAAATTTAACGATTTCTTTTATCTCTTCCGGTAGCGACCGGAAGTGCCGACGACGAACGAAAAGGCACCCTCTCCAATCTAGAAATCATGTTCTATCATCTCTAACAAGTCTCCAGTTCATATCTTCAGCCATTCTTGAGAACACTCAAGGACAAAATTTCATTTTAAAATCAGAAAATTGTCCATAACTTGGCACTGGAACCGAATTTACCAAAAAACGGAATTTTATATAAAATTCATATAAAGACCTTTTATCCCTGAAAATTTCAAAGAAATTCGTTGAATAGTTTTCGAGAAATCGCGTGCACAAAATTTTGTCTAAAAAAAAAAGAATAATAATAATAATAATAAGAAACAATAGAATCACTATAAGGTCTTCCGTGGAGACGGAAGACCTTAAAAAATTACACTCTATTATCCTCCTCAGTACAATAATGATGAGTGAAATGGGTGGTGACTCAGATGAGTAAGCAATGGGATGACTCAGATGAGTGAGATGTGCAGTGACTCAGATGAGTAAGTTATGAAATGACTCAGATGAGTGAGATGTGCAATGACCCAGATGAGTAATTTATGATATGACTCAGATGAGTGAGATGTGCGATGACTCAGATGAGTAAGTTATGAGAATGACTCAGATGAGTGAGATGTGCGATGACCCAGATGAGTAATTTATGAGATGACTCAGATGAGTGAGATGTGTGATGACTCAGATGAGTAAGTTATGAGAATGACTCAGATGAGTGAGATGTGCGATGACCCAGATGAGTAATTTATGAGATGACTCAGATGAGTGAGATGTGCGATGACTCAGATGAGTAAGTTATGAGAATGACTGAGATGAGTGAGATGTGTGAAGACCAGATGAGTAAGTTATGAGAATGACTGAGATGAGTGAGATGTGAGATGACCCAGATGAGTAATTTATGAGATGACTCAGATGAGTGAGATGTGCAATGACTCAGATGAGTAAGTTATGAGAATGACTGAGATGAGTGAGATGTATGATGACCCAGATGAGTAATTTATGAGATGACCCAGATGAGTGAGATGTGATGACTCAGATGAGTGAGATATGAGAAGACTCAGATGAGTAAGATGATGCACAAGAAAAATGAAATTTAAACAATAAAATGCTTTCTTTGGTGAGCGGGTTATGTAAATTTTTTCTGCAATAGCTGCGACATTAATTCCCGTACTAACAAAGAAAGTCATTTTATTGTTTATATTTACATCTGTATAAAAAAAACATTCAAAGTCAGATTAAATATGTTAAATATTGTATTATAGATGTGTATGTCATTGTATGTATAATTGATGGAACAGCTGTTGCTCAAGAAATCTATGCAGGTGGCTTGCTTAGTGTTGTTTACTCACCGATAAACGGCAATGGGTTTCTTAAGAATTAAAGGAAATAATATTCAGTGGATGTTAATATGTAACATATGAAATGAAACATATGTACAGTCAAACCTTGTGATTCAAACTCGATGGGAAAAAAATTTGAAATATCAGAGGATTGAAGATATCAAGGTTAAAATATATAAAAAAGAGAAGTCGGGAGTTCTGACTCACTATGACATATTGATGATATTCTAGATATTAGTGTTCGTGATACCGAAGTTCAACTGTGTGTTGATAGTCTGACAATGAAAGTAAATTAGACCCTCAAATATAATTACATTCTCAAAGCATTGAAGACATTACAAGATATTTTATTGAAAATCTTATAGAGGTAGAATAGAAATACAGAATTTTAGATTAAACATTGAATAATTTCAGATCTGATGCAGAGGAAATCAGTTTGACGACCAGGAGGGGAAATCGTTATCAGGATGAAGAGGAAACTTTCCATTGATGTCAAACAAAAAGTAGAGCATAGACAGTGGAGCTATGTCAGATGTCAGATATAGGGAAATGCAGTGTGGTGTGAAACGTTGTAAATGTAGGATACATATGGGAACTCTTGTGTAGAAGAAGGTGTGAAAATGGATATTCTCAGGACCAAAAAATATCAAACAAAGCTTCACATTCAAGTTCACAACATGCAGGTTCATTTACAGAAATTGTTAAGTACTAGTATAAAAGTAATGATTAATATCAAAGAAAAGATTTTTTAATCGTGGGGATCGTGTTATAAATTGATTTTTTTTGCTGTGAGAAACAAATGCCAATCTTTAAAGTGCTTGATATCCATAAGTTAACATGTAACAAGTAATTGTAGTTAAAAATGCATTAAATTATTATCAATATATTTGATTAATGGCTTTGAATTTGCAAGTTATGAAGTGAAAGTGGGTTGATATTTCATGTAATATGAGAAACATTGACGGCCTATGTGTATGAAACTGATTGTCAGATCATATTGCAGGTCTGTTGTATTTAAAATCATGGTTAATTATATACTTTTAACAAAGGTGTTTTAGCTAGTTACTGTGATATTCTGCATATGGGAAGACTTAAGAATGTTAAATGATTTACTGGTCACTAATGTTTGGGGTTATTAATCTATGTTTTAATCCTTGGGTCTCTTTATGAACTCTTTTTGTACAGGGGTATATATATGAACTACTTAATTTTTGTCATTGAATTCTCGTTCATTGTAAATTTTTTGTTTAAGATTTGGATGAAGGGTGTTCCATGGAGTAAATGTACTTATTTTCACAATATCAAGACTGTGATGTGAAAAAAAATTATATTTATCAATAAGCAATGTATTTTTTCTGAAACAGTCTTGACATTGAGAATAAAACAGTAAACATGGAAACTATTTACACTAGATATATGTGATAAGAAACATTTTGTGAAAATATTCCTCCACCTTCCAACACATCTAAGCATTTTCTTTAGTTTTAACAGTACATTGTATATAATCCATGTGTCAAGGCAATAACCCCCGTGCATAATTTTCTCTATACTTCTAATTCGTGTAATTAAAAAACACACATTTGATCAGCACTCATAAATATCCACATTTAATTTGCATAATTAACAACACACATAAATCTCCACATTTACAGCTTACAGACCTTATCAATATATTTCACATATTTTTATACTGCCATTGACAAGTTTTTTTTTTTAAAGTTCAGTGTGGATGCAATGAATAAAAATCTGTAAAGTATTGATCTTGAAAAAGTGACCTGATCTTTGAAATCCAGGAATTATTTGATAATTTTATACCTAAGAATGGTATGGTGACACAGTGCTGTGGATTAAAATATATTAATCATCAAGACTACTCTAGAATCTTATAAAGACTAAGTGTGTCATTATAGATATGTGATATAATTTATTTAATAATTGAATTTTATTTCTTATTTAATATCATATTTATTTCATAGATTAATAACCAAAATATTATATCTATGACATACACTTACTGTTCATTGACATAATTATTCTCTTGATAGAGACTGAATGTGTTTATTTCACTTCAGTTGCTGATGAATGTTTTCTTTGTTTTTCAAATGAATTAATTGGCAACATTTAAAGTTCTTCCTTTGTATTCTGATACAATGTTTATCATAATTGTTTATTATAATTGTATTTATCCATCATTAAAATAGACATACATGTAGATGTAATCTTTCATGAGATACAAAAAACTTTCATATACAAGACCCTGCAAGTTTAAACATATGACAAAGCTGATAATCATCCAAATTTCTTATTTCATTTCATTTTATTTTGACATTGGAAATTTGGAGCTTGTTTCCCGTTATTTATTTAGAAGTAACATTATTATTTTTAACATTATGTTGTACTGTTGCTATTGAGATTTGTTTATGTTTGTAGGTATTATTTTGTTCTATTTTATTGATATTGATACCAAGGAACACAAACTGTTATCAATGTGTATCAGCTAGTATCTGAAAATAAATTATTTTTGAATAATTATCCTATTGCTTGTTATAACTGATTGCAAACTTGAATCAACATGTATGTATTTGTTAACAGCAGAAATAAAGCTGTGAGGTATAAGGTGTATGGCTTACATACAGAAAGGTATCACGGGGAGAAATTAAAATGAGTGGGGCCAGCTAATTAATACCATCAGCACAACACTTGCATGGAAAGTTACATGTACAATCATAGAAAGCTACAATTTAACACAGAAGTCTTTCTCTAAACATTAGTTATTCTTGTTGTGAAAGAAAAAGAAGTAAATTGATCTGTGTACCCAAAATATGTTTTACATTTCATTTGAAATGCAATGAAATGTATAGAAACATTTGAAAGAATGTAAAAATGAAGGATCATGTTGATTTCATCATGGACTTGTGGTTCTTCATGCTGGAAATGAAGTATTGGTGTAGTCTTGCCTATTAGTATTTCTTTTTGTATCAATTTGGTAATATTCTGTTCACATTTTGAAATATGTGAACATGCGCACAGCTAATCAAGGCTGAAGACAGTTGGCAATGCATCAGACCAAAAAATAAATCAATAATAAAAAAAATTAATAAATATATATATAAATAAATAAAGTGAATCTGAAAAAAAAAACAGTTTAAATTTGATATTGAATTAACATTATAACTAGAAATATCGTTTTTGATCATGTTAAAAATATGTATTTTGAAATGAAAAAGGAAAAAAAAGCTTTCTTTATTTTCTGCATAAAACTTACGGTGCATACATAAATTAAAACTTCATGTTTTTTAAAAATTCTTTTTTTCTTTTAATTCACAAAAAACTTAAAAATTAATTCAAAGATTTCAAAGAAAAATGAAAACCGTTTCTCAGACAAAGAGATAGGGGTGGTATAACGGGATAAACTCCCTGATTTCCTGTTAGAAGGATGTAGAAATATCTTTAAAATAATATTGAGTGTGTGTCTTCAATATTACAATTTTAATACATTTTCTTTTCAATAGTTCATCTCCATTTCAATGTTATAAGACAATATTTTAATGATTCATATTGAGCACATCATAGATATGTGGAAGAAGAAAAACTTAATAATATATGAGAGAGAAAAAGAGAAGTACAATGCATATGATCGGTGGGGGGGGGGGGGGCTATTGTAAATCTTTTTCCTTTTTCTTTTCAGGACTCAACCAACAAGTGCAGATCTTACCGCTGGAAATAACTTTGAAAAAAAAAATGAACTTGAACTTTTATAAGGCTATCATTATTCAAGCAATTTTCTCTGAAGATGATCATGAAAGTTCAACATATGTACAGCATATTTTAGAATCGATTTATACAATTAACATATCGATATGTTCCAACATATCCAGAATTTTTTTCCTTGAATTAGATACACAAAAAGGACCTATACACTAATGTTTTTTTCGAAATTATTTAAATATTAATTAGAACATGAGACAATGTTTAAAGTGACTCTATTTCTGATTTTTAAAATTCATTTAAGTTTTAATAGATGCGCCATTTTTTGTTTGTATCCGTATATATTTTTTCTTTGAGAAATGTTCCCATCTTTCAATGTGCTTGCTATCCATTAAAATGTAACAAGTACTAAATAAATGTAAATAAAATGCATTGAATTATTATCAATATGTTTCATAAACGATTCTTTGAATTTGCAAATTATGAAGTGAAAGAAGGTTGATATTTTATGTTATGTGATAAACATTGATGGTCTTTATTTGTGTAAATTTATTGAGTATCAGATCATATTACATGTTTCTTGTATTTTTAAAATGTGTCTTCTTCAAACAAATGTGTTTTACATGTACCAAGATACTGTGATATTGTGGGTATGGGAACACATGAGAAGTTAAATGATTTACTGGTCACTAATGTTTGGGGTTTTATTATTTGAGGTTTCAGGTTTCAGTTGGGGGTGGGGGTATTATCAAGCAAATATTCCTTGACAAGCAAAAAAGTCTTCAGATGTTATTGTTGAAGGGGCCATGCATAAGGTATGTTTTCAATAATATACTATATAATTGAAGGGAGGCGTTTCCCTGGTTCCTACGGGCACATGCACAGCTAATCAAGGAATGAAGACAGTAGGCAATGCATATCAGGAAGAAAGTTTAATTGGTTATCAAAATTTTGATTGTTTAAATTGGTATGAAACTACAATAACTATAATTCAAAACATTTGTGGTTAATTTTTAAAGGACAGGCAAAGAAAGCTGTTTTTTATCAATTATGTACAGTCGTGTATTTTGAAATGAAAAAAGGAAACTGTCAGACTTTCTTTATTTTCAGAGCAAAATATTCCGTTGAGATAGATAAGTTAAAACGTGTCTATATTTTTTCTTTTCTTTTTTTCTCGATTATAATTACACACGACACCAAACATTTTTATTTAAAAAAAAAAGTGATATGTGGTACATACTATAGTTTCCAAATAAAAACGTATTGATGGAGGGACAAAAGAAGGGGGAAGGGGCTCGATCCTGACATTTCTGTTATAAAGGATTGAAATACTGGAATGAAATGTTAGTTTAAATCAATGTTAAAAGAGAACCCCTTGAGTATGAGTCTTTATATTTAAATTTTAATAAAATATCATTTCTACGAAAGCCTATTAGGATCAAACTACTGTATAAAAAAAAATTGAAAGGCGTTATAACGCCTTTTTAAGAGGCGTTATAACGCGAAGAAAGGCGTAATAACACCTTTTGAAAAGGCGTTATAACGCGGAAAAAGGCGTAAAAATGCAAATAAAGGCGTAATTACGCCTTTCCAAAAGGCGTTATTACGTCTTTCTAAAAGACGTTATTGCGTTTTTCTAAAAGGCGTTATTACGCCTTTCCAAAGGCGTTATTACGCCTTTCCAAAAGGCGTTATTACGCCTTTCCAAAAGGCGTTATTACGCCTTTCCAAAAGGCGTTATTATGCCTTTTGATGAGCCATTATTATGTCTTTGACAGGCCCGTACTTATAAACGAGGGGGGGGGGGGGGGGCAGCCTCCCATAAAATTGACAAGCAAAAAAAAAAAAAAAAAAAAAAAAAAAAACAAGAAACAACCCCCCACCCCCTCCCCCTCGAAAAAAATAAACTGCCTAAACTTGAGGGGTATCTTTTTCTAATTTTTTGGTAAAACTTTTTTTAAATGCAATGACTTGCCCGAGTTTAACCATACTGCTACAAAATGTTAAGGGACCAAGCTATCAATAAATGATTTTTTTTCGTATTTAAACTATAGCAAGAATACTCTCCTAAAAAGTGGGGAGGGGGAGCCCCCCACCCCCACCCCTCGCATTCGTACTACCGGCCTGTTTGAAAAGGAGTTATATCCAAAAATGGAAAGGCGTTATTTTGAAACAATAAATATATGAAAGATTGAACCAATGCCATCTTTATTTATGCAATATTTAGATTATAGTTTTAATATTATAAATTATATTATAAATTATAGTTTTTTCTATATTCCTGCACATCTCTCAGACAGCTGTTTGCATGCGTATTAATAAGAGAAGTCAACACTCTACTCTGAAAATCCTGGATATGGGCAGAGCCAGCTTTGGGCTTTGCTAGCCATGTATTAAAAATTCATGTCAAATTTGAAATATTTTTCTCTCCTCTTGGAAAAAAACAGGCAAACTATTTGCATAGGTATAATGAGCAATTAGCCTCCAACCAAATTTCTGAAATCCATGCACCTTGGTAGAGGTGTCTGGCATCAGAGAAGGACTAGGTTGGTTTAACACTGAAAATATTTTACACATTTCAAAATCTTTTTTCCTGGAAATCTAATTATAATTTAGCTCCGGGGTGGGCTAGGTAAGTCATGTATTGAAAAAAAGGTGCGTAATAACGCCTTTTGGAAAGGCGTAATAACGCCTTTTGGAAAGGCGTAATAACGCCTTTTGGAAAGGCGTAATAACGCCTTTTAGAAAGGCATATTAACGCCTTTTGGAAAGGCGTAATAACGCCTTTTTTCGCGTTATAACGCTTTTCAAAGGCGTTATAACGCCTTACGCCTTGTACATTTCAGTAGTTTATCTCTTTCAATCGTAAAGGTACAGATTCACCGAGTCCAACTTTTACTTCGAGGAAGTTGCAAAAAAGAACGCCAGCGTCGATTTTAACACCGGGGCTATTCGATATTTCTTCAGCTCGAAATCGGCCATGATGCATTCCACCGGTTTTTGTTGCATTTTAATTTGATATATTTGCACAAATGCTATACCTCACAGAAAATACAATAACTAAGGTAGATAATTTGATCTTCCATCTAAATAATAAAAACATGTTATGCAAGCATAAATAAAAAAATTTTTCTTCATTGTTTTTCAATCAAATAAACAAGCAAATGTACTCAGAGGTATACTAAATTTAGCTTGCTTCAAACCTTCAGTTTTTTTGCGCCTCCACTTTTTAATCTTTACAGAAATCGACTCTCACCCCGTCCCTCTCTGTTGAAATTAGAAATCGCCACCGTGTATTCCTTAGACGTGTTTCTTCCTATGTTTTGGTTGTCAAACAATAACATGTCTAATAAACATGCATAAATATTATCTGATTATTGAATGCAAATCTTTGTGACTGGCGTAGCGA